GGCAGACTGAACAAAGGCATACATTGGAAGCAATATGCTTCTGTGCTTACTACAAACAAACTACTGGAAAAGCTCAGAAGATAAAAGTGGAGAAGGGAACAGAACCGACATCAAGTCGAAATTGACTCTTCACGGAGTCACATTCTCAGTTTCTCTTTCTCCACAGATGCTTCTCCAACACGTTCTGGTTGCATTTCAAGTTTCCACCATCGAAAGAATTTGCTTGCATATTACTGCTTCTCTGGCAAGTTCTGTTCATTCAAACCAGACTTACTGCAGTTGGCTCCCTGCCATATTATGTCCTCAAAACATGTCATAAGGCTACACTGGTTTCAAGTGAATGCGCATCAGTTTGCCATTTGTGTCTTGCTCAAGCCAAAGATCTTCATTCGTGATAGGTGATGTTGCAGCTGAGCTTAATATAGTTGCTTTCCAGGAGGTCAGCAGATAGCCATCAAAAATAAGGACTATCCCAAGCATTTTAGTCTCTGTCCAAGGCCATAGATGGTCAGCTGTAATGCTCCAGTCACAGCCTCAGGGGAGATAGTCCCAGTGCAGTTTCAGTCCACACCTATCTTGTTCATTCGATCAGTGCAATGCCATACTGACCAAAACCTGCAGCATTTCCTTGTTTCTATGTTGGCACTTTAGGGAACCATGTTGGATGTAAGCCTGTATTGCCTAGCTATGAGTTGTAGTTGGATTCACAGCTCTGAACAGGCTGGCGCTAAGTCCATCTTTACACGTGTGGATGTGCTGACAGGAGACCTGTACCTAGGACAAGGAAGCTCCATCAGAACCACTCTGGAATGCAAAAACCAGCTAAAGATTTAAACCTTTCATTTTATTGACATTCGATCGATGCCAAGAACCATACTGAAATGAAGTGGCAGCATAAATGGAACTCAAACTGGACAAACAGCATACAGGGGAGATCAAACCAATTCAATTCAAAAACAAAGATTCACCTTAAAGCATAATTTTTAATGGCAGTGATATTTCATTATTTGATACTAAAAAAACCAAACTCAAGCCCACATGGAGTCACAGAGCACTTCAAGACAGATGCCAAACCATATTATTAATCCAAAGCTTCACATTATAGAACTGCATTATGTTCAATCCAGAAGTGATTGCTACTCTTGCTGCATACTCAAAATATGCAGTTTCTGTTCCTCAACACTGAATTCTGCAGACTGGTGTAAAACCTTCTGCCCACACATGTACACAAAATATTCAGGTACAGCAGGGGAGATTAGAAAACACACTCGATCAGGTGGGGCCGATGGAGGTCTGGTGTTAAGTCTATTATTCTATCTTATTCTAGAATGGAGGTGCAACATAAAAACACAAGATGTTTCAGAACACAACACTACAATTGTACCAAAGCCAACACTATTCATGATGCTCAGGGTCAAGTGTGACAATGAATAGCCAGGTTGTCACACCTGCCTCTCTGCAACACGTCACCAGCCAACTGACATCTTCCAGCCTACTCCACATAAAATCAGATACGACAGCTCCACCTGCACATTTGTATACAAAGGCTGCAATTTAGGTTCTTAAGTAACAGACAGGTGAACAACTAAATGGTTGCTTAAGCCACAAACCATCCAGGGGGCGCTTTGAAAGCTGAATGATCATAGGATGATATCAGACAACAAAAGGGGAAAAATCCATCTCATTTTGTAGAATATGGGCACAAATTAGGCTTCAACATGAGCTAACATCAAAAAAATTTCAGGAAAATAGCATCTTATGCACAAAACAAAGCTGGCATTTCCACTTTGTGCCTTGAACCCCAAGAATATTCTTCTGATCCTCTGACAGCAATGGCTCACGTACCAGTACTACTACCCAGACAACTTTCAGATGAGCCTAAGCACTAAATATTGGCAAAGTGCTCAAACAGAGGACATCCAAAAACTTGCCTCCAGTGTCCTCACCTAATGTGTATTCCTGTAGAATCACTGGGTAAGGATCCACAATCCCCTGGTCATTTTTTCTCCTAGAACTGCTGTAGCTCTGAGATCAAAGTAACTCAAGTCACTGATTAAATGCAATGCGTTATTTATTTGCCTCGAAGCCAGAAAATTTGTTTACAGTAAGTAAAAAGCACCTGTTTTGGAAAAGTAAAAATAACTCTCTCCCAAACTCTCAAAAACATGACTTCACACAATTCGTGGGTATACAATTTGATTTTTACCACCAAGCCCCACAAGTGGTGTCCTGACCCAGAAGGGCAACCAGCATGTTTTTTCCCCTCCCACAACCCAACATCCAATCTCTGCCTCTAAAAGGTGCATTGCTTCACAGTGCATGCTGCAGTGAAAAGTACAGTTAAAAGCCATTCGAGAAAAATACCTATTGATCGGGAGACTATTCCAGTCACTACGACTCATTACATCTTTTACATTAACAGCTTGACACATGCAGCATTTTCCTTCTCACGTAGAAAGGGACAAAAACAAAATGAGCAACCAGCCTGATGGAAATCTTCCACTCAACTTTGACCACCACTGCAGTGGCATTTTCAATGCTGCTAGAGTGATAACTTGGCATCAATTGCATGTGATGCATCTGCAAATTGTATAATAGCATGAAAACTGAGAAGAGTTGGTGTGTGTGTGTGTGTTGCTGTAGTTGGGTGGAATGAACAGATATTAATGGGGTTCCAAAAACCTTGCTCGTTGCATTATCTGGAGTCACACAACAGACAATGTAAACTGTGCTGATTTTAAATTGCTCTGGTAAACTTCTTCCAGACCCTTCCTGGAAGATTGCTGTTTTGTATCTCAGGCTGCACTGAATTATCTGATCTCAGCCCGGATGGTAATAAGGGTGCTAATTGGCCTCAGTGCCCCTGGAAGACGGGAATTAGCCAGGGATCCCATTCTCAATTGCAAGTTAATGACCCCTGCATGTGGGTCACACTGGCTGAGGCTAGGATCAGGCTTGACGGCAATATCGTCCACGGTTGAACAGATTGCTGACACACACAGTCATGATCCCACTTGAACCTTGCACCCATGGAATAGCAAAGCAGCAAGGAACTAACCCACTGGCTTGTGGAAACATCTTCTTCCCTTTCCCCACCCAGGCCCCTGGAGAACAAGCAAGACTAGATCGCCGAAATCTGCACCTTGCTTTCTCAAACAGGATTTATCAGCAGGTGGTCAAATGTTGGCCTCAGGTCAACTAAGCTGGCTCAGTGATCTGACTCTGCAACTGGCTCAGGGCATCTCTAACCTCAAAGCTGGAACTAAACACAGCCAAGGTCCCCATTTCGGAGGGCTCCCATTGAAAAGGCAGGTGTCAATACTTCTTATGAATGGATCCAACTAAGACACGGCTCCTTAACCCTATGTAAGCACTCTTGATGGCATTCATCGTTCAGGTAAGCACTCCATTAAACACCAATTAGGGAACACATTGCCACTCAGGGAATTACAAAGCAGCATGCAGCAGTATCATCAGGAGAGATGGAGAAGCTTTTTTTTCCCACATGTCCCAAAGGTGGCAGGAGGGAGAAATCAGGGAGGACCACACCCAACCCAATAACACCTCCTGGTGACTGAATCATGAATAGCAATGATAAGGAGGAATTGTACAGCCTAGATACTTCCACCCAGTTCAAAGGTAACTGCATATGTACCAGGCTTATGGCAAAGGGAGCAACCCCCCTTCTGGTCCTCACAACGACAGGCCCCTCTAGCAGCCGAGTGTGTGAATCTGTTGCCCTGCGTGGATCTCAATCATTCATCACAGAATGGTGCCATCACCCATTAGAGAGGTAAACTATTGACTGAGCTTCCACTGCCAAATCATTCCATATCCCTGGGCTCGTAAATACAGTCGGGCCAACTATAGAATTGCTCAAGCCAAAAACAAACAGTGCCCAGACTGAATATCCCCACTCGCAGAGAGATGACCTGTGAGTAAAAGATTAGGCAGAGACTTGTCGGCTGATTCCCCAACATGGTAGATCAGCACTTCCAAAAGGTGAGGAGAGAAAATGAGGAAATAATTAAATGGATTAAGTGTTGTGCCTATAGAGTTTTTTTTTTAAAACTGTCCTTCCACTCAATTTCATTGTCACTTCTAATACTTACGGGCACCGGGAAAAGAAAAGGCGAACTGAAAAAGATCACCAAATAGAGATTGCACTGAGCAACCTTTCTGATCCAGTGTTCCCTGATCAGTTGGGGGAAAAGAAAAGTTGGGTTTTCAGCAGCATCGGGCGAGGAACGATTTGTAATTGAAGTCTGTAAAATGTTGCAAACACAAAATGGAAACTGGATGTGATCTAAAAATAGGTTAAAGGTCATTTCTAAGAGTAACACAACTCATGGTTAACCTGGAAATCCTGGTGGCCTTAGCAAAAAAAACTTATGCGTATCAAAAAAAATGACAATGTTGTGTACACAATCCCACCTCCATTGTTAATTCCACAAATTGAAAATGGCATTTGCAAACAAGTAGCCAATATTCTTTGCTTTTAAGTATGCGGTGAAAAAACGGTTAATTCAATACGTTGGTGAGGCCCACGAACAGTGTAAAATGTAGTAGCAATGGCAAATCAGAAACAAAAGATGCCAAAGCTAGTTCCAGGGCGTTATACAAACAAGACAAGGTACGTGCAAATTTCCCTTTCAAAATTACAGAAGGAACCTTGCAGCTTAAATGATATCGAACTTTTTTTTAAAAAATGATCAAGGACCGAAGTAAAATAAAACGTTTTCAGATAAACCTCAATTGAATCAAATAGTAAGTGAGCGGATGCCAATACTTGATTTTTTTTTAAAAAAAGACACACACCTAGGCAATGATAACTACAGCTTAAAAAGGCACGGGGAAACTGCAGCGAGAGGTACTCCGGCAGGATTCAGAGCCGGGGTTAGTTTTACTTCACAATTTTCGGTTTCCGGGGGGGTGGGTAATACAGTGAAATTAACTCGCTGTAATTGAAACGTGCGCTCCGGACACAAGTAATCACTTACCGACTGCCTGGCTTGTGGATACATCGCCCCCTCTCTCTCGCAAACGTAGGTTTTCCCCAATTTCTTTTGAAATGAAACAAACAAGTCTCCCTTGAAATGCAACAACAAACAAAAAAAAAATCCTGCGTACGGACGGAGAGTAAAACAAAGCCAGATGAGCCGTTTCCGCCGACACTTTCCGCACGGATTTTGGTTGCGTCTGGGATTTATTTTGTATCTTTCATAATGCAGTCACGATACATTGTACACCGTCGG